ATAATAATCAAATAACATACATAATTAAGTACTTTGTATAAATAACGTTAAATATGAAGAAATATTTATTTTAAGCAATGCATTTTAATTATTAAGATAATGCAAATGGAAAGAGTATTGATATATTTCAAGTTTTGCTTTTTTTTATTAAATAGAAATGATCTGTCATATTCAAAATTAAATTGAATAAAAATGGTGATTTGTTAAATATAGTGGGGCTATTAAAATGGTTAACAAGTAAGTAATTTATCTAAGAAATAATTTATAACTTTAATAGAACAACTTTAATTTTAAATTTCTTGATTATGCTATTATCCCCTCCTATCTAACCTAAAAATAGACGTTTTGAATCAACGTCAAAACATTTCTTGTAATTGTTTTTTCAAGTTATTTTTCTATTCGGTTTCAGTTTATGTACTTTTTAAGAATAATTTTAATGATTAAAAAGGTGATGGATTCATAAGAATAAGTTACCAAACACTAGGAGAATCTGATGTGATATGTGTGCTATTTAAGTGCTTCTTGTATAAACAAAGATGAAATAGTAGAATTAACTGGAAAAATAGTTTTAGCATTTACTGCAAGTTTATAACGCAATCAATTTGAAGATGTTTATATTATAATATTTGAAGGAGGTCCCCATTTTTGATAAATTTTAGAACCCTAGGTTATGGCTGATAGTGATTGCATTAGTGAAACTGCAAGTTCTGCTTGTGATGAAGAAAGAATTAGGAGATTATTTCAAGCATGTGATACTAACGGCGATGGCTTTATAGATAGGTAAAATCACTTAAAACAGAATCAATATGATCCTACTACTTTGTCTAATATTTTAGTAATGATCTATTCTCCATATGCAAAGAACTCAACCTAGAAGACTCTATTGGTGAGCTTATGCAGCAATTAGGGGCTGATGCACAAGGCAGAATATCATACGAACAGTTCTTAAGAAGCAGACTTGCCCTAAGACCTGAAATTGATGCTTTAAAACACTCAAAACATGATGTTGCCAGTGATAATAGTCAGGGTCAGTAACAATACAGTTTTACATATAAAAGTTTTATTAATGAGTTTCTCATAAGTAGGAAAACTAGATCAGTGGGAATGGGACTCTGGTGCTAGAGATATGAGCCCTATTCCAAAGTCACTTGTTCAAAAAGTTGGAATGTACACAGAAGAAGATTTAAAAGTATTTATTTACTTTCTTTATTGTGCAAACCTTTTAACTATTAATAAATTTAACCCAGATTCAGATTGAGAAGAGCACAGTGGAACAAGCACAAAGGTATGAAGAGCGTTTGACTGAGTTACATTCTGTTATTGCCGAATTGACAAAGAAGTTGCACCAGCAAAGGGCAATGGCAATAGCAGAAGAAGATGAAGCTTCAGGTACAAGACTTTTTTTGATAATTTTTTCTTAATTTATTTTTAAAAACGAATTTCGGTTGTGATACTTTCTTTAGAAGTCTGTACCAGCGCCTTTGATGACTCAGCAACGTGTGCTTTAGAAGTAAGTGAAATGGACCCCCCTGAAAACGGTAATGGCTCGGATTCGGACAACAAAGTTAGTAAAAATATCGCTATTGATTAATGTTTTATTAAAAGTTTGTTTTTCAATAAGATTCCTGAAATCTCAGTGGAACAACCGTCTTCAAAATTGAGCCCCACGAGCGATAAAAACTCCGAAACGTTCACCAATATTGTGGACTCATTAAAGTCCGAAATTGACAACTTGAAATCTCAGCTGTTGCATGCTCAAGCAAAAATTCAAGAGTATGAAAAGCAAGAAAAAGAGACCAACAAAAGGGAAGTGCTAAAGACGATTACCAAAAGGCTTCTTGAGACCGATATGGACGATTTAGACCCGAAAGTCTATTCTGAAGAGAAGGCAGATATTAAATATGGTAACGTTGTCTCTATAAACAGAACTAGCACTTCCAAGACGCCCCTAACTAAAGTTGCGGAGCGTGTTAAATTAAGACGTGCGACCGATTTGCGAAGAGAAATAAACCCCAACGATTTGGTAAACAGCGAGTTGCCCACTGCAGTTGCCGAGCACATTGTGGGTGACATTTTGTGCCAGTGTGACCCCAGTAGCGAAAAAAGCAACGGTGCAATTGAAATGAAAAGGATAATATCGAAATTGGAACACATAAAATCACAAAATTTGCTTTTGGAATTAACTTTAAACGAAACCAAAGCCAGTTGCGACAGGTAATAGCAATAATAAAGCAAAAATTCAAAGTCACCCCTTCCTCCTAAATGTCTAAGCCTATATTCAACTGTGAATTGGCTCCAGAGAACACGATGTTCCTGTGTGGATTAAATGGGGGCTTCTTAATAATAATTGGATGTATTAGAAGACAGGGACAGGCTAATGGTACGCAATTTTTTTCAGATTAGCGCTTCTGTGTGGTAAATACGAATCCAATGCAATAGCCCTACATTTAGCTCTGGCTGTTTCTGATAGAACTATTGAGGCTTACGATGTCCTGCTAGCTTTGCTTGAAACGGAAATAGGTTTAAATGAAAATATTCCAGGTACTTTTATCGAATACTTAAGAAAAAACACAATCTAACAATTACGTTTTAGAAACTTTCGAAAACCGAATGGCTGCAGAAAGCATCGCTTTGCAACTTCTAAAATATTTGGACGAATATAAGTCTACAGACGCGTTTTTCTCATCGTGGCAGCGTCATCGTTTTCAAACGTCCAATATTGCATGGTAAATACAAAGATAATAATATTCATTAAAAACCCTAGAGTTGTTTCTTTTCTGCTACCAGCGACCACCAATGGACTTCAGAACACGAAAATAGGCTCAGGGAGCACGTCTCTCGACTGAAGGCCGAAAGAAGTAACATTCAAGGGACTTGTGTATCCCTTGAATCGCCCCATATGGAACCAGTTCCTACAAAGTCGGCATCCACCCAAGAAAACAGGAAAATGGACCTAGAAATGGCCGTTCTTATGCAAGTAAGCAATGAGTCTGCATGTACAGTAAAATTTATGTTATAAATTCAATACTTTTTAATTATTAGGAACTAATGAGCCTCAGAGAAGATCGAGCGGAACTCATAGCCAAGCTTTTCACCTTAGACAAAGAAAAGAGTGCTATTGAACTGAAATTGAAATATGTTGAAGGGCAGCACAAGGCCCAGTCGGCCACTTTGAAAAACGTACAGGGACAGTTGAGAGACACAGAGAATCTTTTGGCAGCTGCGACGCAAAATAGGGTACAATAAAGCATTTAAATTTATAAGAACAAAGTACGATTTGATGTTTGTTATGTAGGAGAAGAATTATTCAGATTTAGAGCATACTGAAGGGGTTGAATTAGAACTCATGCAAGCTCTGGCAAGGGAAGCAAGACTGAAATTGAGATTACAGGAATTAATAGCGATTTTGGAACAGGTAACTAAAAACACAGATGCTAGATTACTTGAAGGGAGAGAAATGGTCCAGGATTTAAATCAAACAAATAGGTCAGTTGTTTGCAGTCTTTTTCGTTTTCTTTCGAAATTTAAATCAAATTTACTTTCAGTATTTTATCTGAAACTGTCGATAGAAATCATCGTCGATACCAAGCGCGTTTAAAAAAAATGGAACAGCAATTGGTTTTAATGACTGAACAGCATAATTTACAGGTTCTTTATATTATCTTTATCTCAAAGAAAATATTTTGATATCTGTTTTTCAGGTCAAAGCCCTACAGTCACGTATTGCTGCTCTAGAAACGCCTCCAACTAATAGTTCAGAAAACTCTGTGAATTCCCTAAATACATAGTTCTAGTACTTGTAAGTTATAACTAAAAATAAAGCTCCACATTATGTATTAATAATAATACTAAATAAATAATAAATATCGCTTAATTTAATTAAACTTATTTCTTATATCCCGATATGTATTAACTATATTTTTGATTTGTTGTTAATTTTTTTGTTTATTTGGGTAGCTCAAAACCCCAAGAAATAACTAACTTACTTTAGGAAGGAAGAATATTTTTAGAATTTAATTTAATTACTCTTCGGTTTCAAGTTTATCTTTGCCATTAACTTCAAAAGAATTTGAAATGCTAAAATTTAATGGTAAATATAAATTTGTTTAAGACTTAATATTTATTTAATTACCTTTTAAATAACATTGAATAATTTAACTAGTTATAGCACATTATGAAATCTATATTTTTATCGAGTCTCGTTTTTAGGGAACACGAAGTATAAAACATTAACAATAAATATAAATTAAACAATTAGAAAATAACAAATAGTAATTCTAACATTTAAATAATTTAAATACCGCGCTCAAATTACGTCTGCAGCGTGCTCTACCGTCAAGAACGTCAAACTTTGTAATACTGTAACCTAACCTAATATTATTGTGTACATTAACAGATTTATTTGGACAATTTGTTTAAATAAAAACATCAAACTTTTAAATTTAGGATACTTTAAGTACGAAGTGGTAATAAAACTCGACAATTTTTCTGAAAATACAACTTCCTGATCATAAAGACCAGTAATGTAACATAACCTTTCCTGTGATCAATTCATAGTTCGAAACTTTTCAATTGTTTTAGTATTTTACAATTAAAAACAAAATTTTCGACATTCCACACCTCTTTTCTAAAATGTTGGGATTCACAAGATATGCTCGTTTAGTGTACCTTCCAAAATTATGTAGATGTTTAAGCGCTGCACAAATACAAAATGCGGCTTTTCACCGTGTCCCAAACAATTCAAAAGGTACGTTGAAATTGTTATCAATTATTTTTAAAAATGACATACATTGGTTTCCAGTACTTGCCAATATTAGCTCATTCAGATTATATACAACCCAAACTCAGACCGCAGGAAATAATCAACCACAATCCAAAGAGACTGAGAAACTGATTGGTAAATGCTTCCTTATAATACATACATTACCCTATAATAAATATTTCTGTATTATTCAAGGTAGTGCAAGTAAACATGAATTTCAAGCAGAAACAAAAATGTTACTGGATATTGTTGCAAGGAGCTTATATTCAGAGAAAGAAGTATTCCTTAGAGAACTTATCTCAAATGCTAGTGATGCCCTTGAAAAATTTAGATACAATTTATTAACAAAACCAGATAAGGAGCCAATACATGAGCCAGACAGACCACTTGAAATCCACATTAAAACGGATAAACAAAATAGAACACTTATTATACAGGTGATGTACTGTTTGGCACCATGTAAACAAACTTTAATTTCCTTTCTGTTTCATAAAATATAGGATACAGGCATTGGAATGACCAGAGATGCTCTAATATCAAATTTGGGAATAATTGCAAGGTCAGGTTCAAAGGTATACTTGTTAGTTATCAGTTGGAGCAGTTTATTATAGTGTTTATGTTTCAAAGGCATTCTTGGAGCAAGTTCAAGGCAAATCTTCACCTGAAAATGCTAGCAAAATTATTGGACAATTTGGTGTTGGTTTTTACAGTGCCTTTATGGTGGCAGACAAGGTTGATGTATATACCAAAGCAGCAAATGAGAGTAATGGTTACAAGTGGAGTTCTGACGGGTATGCAGCAGTATAAAAATTCTTTTCATTATGCATAAATAATACAATAAATGTAGGTCAGGGAGTTACGAAGTACAACTTGCTGAAGGTGTTAATTATGGAACTAAAATTGTCATAACTCTCAAACCCGAATGTAGGGAATATGCCGACGAGGAAGTTGTGAAAAAAGTTATTCAGAAGTATAGCAACTTCGTGGGACACCCGATTTATTTAAATGGAAACGTTGTAAATACTGTTGAGGCGATTTGGTTGAAAGACCAGAAGAATGTCACTAAACAACAACACCATGAATTTTACAGATACATTAGCAACAGTTATGATTTACCCAGATTTATCCTTCACTATCACGCTGATGTTCCGCTGTCGATTCATGCTCTCCTGTACTTCCCTGAAGGAAAACCAGGTGAATTATTTGTTTGTGGTATTACCATGACTTATTTTTATCTGTTAAAATCAAACTCAACAAATCTGTCTGTTGTTTTTGTGTTGTACTTTTAATATTTACAGGCCTTTTTGAAATGTCACGAGAAACACACTCAGGTGTCGCGCTGTACACCCGAAAGGTACTCATAAAAAGCCAGACAGATAACATTGTGCCCAAGTGGTTACGGTTTCTGAAGGGTGTCGTTGATTCAGAAGATTTACCGTTAAATCTAAGCAGGGAACTTCTCCAAAACAGCACACTAATTAAGTAATTTATTTCGTCAATCAAGAAAGTATCTTGTATAACTCAAATTTGTCTGTTTTTTAATTCATTTAGTAAACTAAGAGATGTCTTAACCGGTCGAGTTATTAAGTTCCTTCAGGAGCAATCAAAGAAGGCAACTGACGAGTATCTCAAATTTTATACTGATTACGGGATATTTTTAAAAGAGGGCATAATAACAAACCAAAACCAGTCAGAAAAGGTTATAAATATAATTATTTGCGTTTAATTGTTATAAAGCATTTAAAATTAACTTACAGGAAGAAATCGCGAAGTTGTTACGTTTCGAATCTTCCCACAAAGATGCCAACGTGAAAGTTGGATTTGAAGATTACGTTTCCGGTATAAAGGAATCTCAAAAAATTATCTACTACTTAGCCGCACCAAGGTAAAGGGGTTTAATTTGAATGTTATCTTAAACCTATTTATTTTTTGGTTTTGTATTGTAAGTCGTGCATTAGCAGAAGCCTCTCCATATTACGAGTCTTTGAAGCAGAAACAGTACGAAGTTCTTTTCTGTTACGAGCCTTATGACGAATTAGTTTTAATGCAGTTGCAACAGTTCAAGGGTTACAGGCTCATTTCTGTCGAAAAAGACATGAGAGACGACAAGGCTGCAAGTGATTTAACCAACTTGGGTAAAAATAAAACATTTTTAAGCAATAAAATGCCTTAAACATATTCACAGAAACGTCTTAAAGTAGTTTGCGAGTTGTTAACAACGTTTTAAATGTACTTTGCTTTAGGGGAAGATAGTTTAAGAAGAAGTGAAATAAATGACTTGACAAGTTGGCTTAAAGGGGTGCTAAAAGACAAGGCGGCTAACGTAAACGCCACCACCAGACTTCAAAACCATCCCTGTGTTATAACTGTAGAAGAAATGGCTGCTGCAAGACATTTTATAAAAACGCAGAGCCATCAAATTGACGAACAAAGAAGATTTGCGTTGTTACAACCCCAATTAGAGATCAACCCTAAGTAAAAAATTAACTTTATTACATATTCATTGTTTTTTTTTTTACACCAATCGAGTAACGGAACGTTATTTTAGGCATCCATTAATAAAAAAGATGTATCGGTTGATGCAAGACGACCCTCCGTTAGGTGAGTTACTGGCGAAACAGGTGAGTCATTAATGTTTGTTTATAGTGGTAATACATAAAATAATGTTTGCAGCTCTTTGCCAACGCAATGGTTGGGGCGGGCTTAGTGGACGACCCACGAATGCTACTGACATCTATTAACGAACTTCTAGAACGAGCGCTTACGAAACACTAAGTTAGTTATTTGATTGTACCGAAAAGTCTGTGATTCTTTTGTAATGATAATAGAAACCTCTTTGTTTTAAATAATGTTTTTTAGGCATTTATTACCCTTTTATCGCCTTAATTCTACGCCATTTTGATAACAAACTGCTTATCAAAAATAATAAATATATTGAAAATGTTATACCGGTAAAGTATATAAAAAGTGAATTTCTTCAAAATAAACAATATTTCTAACATATAAACATAAAATATTTGTCAATTAACAACTCTTCTTAAAGTATCTACAAATTATTAATATGCATCACTTAGACTTCCGTTTTCCTCTCCTTCACTTCGTTCACCTTCTTCTATTTCTTCATCGGTGTCTTCTGGTGGTAGTGCGTCATCTGGTTCGTTTTGAAGTCTGCTGCTGCTTTCTTCACTACCTATCGAACTTTGGGTTAGAATATCCTCTCCTTGAAGGTCCCTGTTCTTCAAAGTTCCCAACCAGAACGCTGACGAACAATTGTTCGCTACCAGAGCAGCTTTAACCCTGACTAACAATGATTCGAGGGTGAGTCTAAATTGAGGCACGTAAGATATCAAACTTAAGTCTTTGGCAACTTTCGAGGTGCAGCAGAGATGGTGTAGGAATCTCGTGCTCCTCTGAATGATCTTGAATATTTCTAAGACGTCGTCAGTCTTCGATCGAAGCATTATTTCCAAGATGGGGATCCCGTGTGACAAGAAAACTTTTAAGATGGCTATCGATTTTTTTAAAAAGATGTGAAGATTTGTTTTGTTTTCTTGGTGCTTGGCAATTGTGATGAGGCCTTGCATTGTGAGAGCTGTATTTTTCCAGAGGGCCAAGTGTTCGTTGTTAGTAAGTGAAACTACTTCACTCTTAACGCCTTCTAGGAGAGCGTGGCAAACGCCCCGGAATAAGACATGAAAGTTTCCTTTGTCAATGCTTTGTAGTTTTGGAAGATGATCATTTTTACTTATTAGTCCAGTGACTTCCTCTTCCATGGAATTGGCAAATACACAAAGCATTTCGACAGATATACCATCCAGATAACTAGTGATCAAGGTGTTTATATGAGCGTTTGCAACCGCCCCCGTTTCCTTAATTCCGTTCGAGTTGTACCACTTCTTCATCAGGAGCTTCTCGCTTACCAAAGCGATTTTCTTTTTGATGTCGTTGTCCGGATTTATTATGTATAGGGCTTTCAAAATGTCCACCAAATGTGTTCCAGAAGAGAGACAGAGACACTGCTTGAAGTATTTTGCAAACGTTCTACTTAATTCGATGGCTCGTTCGTCTGTGGTGGAGGCGGATGAATCCTTTCGGAGTGCTTTAAGAAAATTGTCTAACAAGTTGCTGTTTTTAGGATTTTGAAACCCAGGCCAGTTTAGTAACGTCGATATCAGTTCGATAACGTTTCCAAATGAGGAACGTAGATCTTTCATAGTAGATGAAAACATGTCAGGTGAATCGATAACATCGTGGCATTGTTCTATCGATTGGGCTAGGGCAGTGTTTATAGCTTGAAAGTTTTTCATTATATTTGGAAGAATGTAGACACAGTCTGTTATATAGTCTTCAACTGATACTACTTTGAAGTGCGATAAGTCTGATAAATTTTGTTTAGTTAGTGCAGTAGATTTTTCTACGACGTCCCTTACTAAAAAGTTGAACTGTTTGATGTTGAGGGTCGGTTGTTGTGTAAGAGATACCGTTGTGGACATGTTAAATTCTTCAAATTTTAAAGAGTACCTTAATGGTAATATTGTGTCAGTGTCTAGTTCCCTAAAGTTAATTTTGCATCTTCTCATCTTGGTTGGAGATGATTTATTTGATCTGTTCCCAGGTTTAGAACCTTGGGTAGCGACAGAGACGGTGGTGTCGTTTAGAGTTTGGGTGGTGGGTGATGTTTTGCTTTTCTTTTTCGGTGGCGGTTTCATTTTTTCATTTTTCTGGTTAATTTTTTCATTGCCTTTGGACGAATCAAAATAACTTCTGGGTAAAACATGGTCGGGAACTAAATTTAAATATTCACGTAACGTTTCTTCTAAATGTATGATGTGACTGATTCGTTCTAAGACCATGTATCGTATTTGTCTGCTTTTCTCTCTAACGAAAGCACTCACCAACTCCCTAAACCAGTTGATGCAGTGGAACAAGCAATCGATTACGTGTTTAATTTGATGGGTATCAAAATCGTCTATCTTCTGCACTAGCGGCATCACTACCCCACAACCCAGCAGAGCATCGATCGCTGTTAGATCGTGTTCATGGAGTAGTCGTACCAGTCTAAATAGAGGCGACAGTGTCATAATTGAAGTCGTATGCGACTGTTTCATAGTTAATTCCGCTATATTTACCCCAAAGGGAGTGTCTACATCGTCTGGATTGTTTAAAGAATATTGTAAAGAAAATGTTATGTCGTTAAGGGAGTCAGGAGTAGTATCTGTTAAGTATATTTTACGAAAATCGTTTGTCATCGATTCAAACAACCATCCTAAGAAGTGTTTATCTAAATTTAAAGTGGTCATTAAGAGGAAGGCTAATTGGTCGTAAAAGAGTCCCAAGTACTCCGGATTGTTTAGCGTGTTCGTGTTCGTTAGTTTTAATAGTTGCGCAGCTTCTCGGGAAATCCCTGAAGGTAAAGTTGACACGTCGGATGAATTGTGGTATTCTGTAATACTCCTATCTGACTGGTCGCCTTCAGCTGTTTCTGCGATATGTTTTATCATCATAATGGCCGAAACGATGCCTTGGTATTTGATTTTTTTCTTGTTACTGGATAACTGCTTGCGTACCAACATGTGCAACTCGTCTTTGAATCCTGTAGCCGAATTAGTTACCTTTTCCCCGCAGGTCAGGCCGCATAACAAATCGAAAACTTTGCTTACATCTTTTAATTCAAAGGAATCGAGGAGTTCCAGCAGGCTCATCAACTGTAATGTGTGCTCTTCTAGTAGCGGTTTGTTTTGAGAGAAAGACAATAGAATGTTTAATACGCTAGATGCGTATTTTTGACCGTTTATTCCGGCCAGGATAACCAGGCTGTTTATTATGTCTTGTCTTTGAACCCTGTCGATGTACTTGTGATTGAATAATAAGTTGTGTAAAGTTTCAGCAAAACTGTGTAGAGAGTCTTCTCTTTGGTGTTGGAGTAAACTAGATGCAATATCTAAAATAGTGCCCAAAAATTCCTTAATTATTTCAGGAACAAAGTAGTTACTGAACAATTTATCTAGTAGTAGTGTTCTAAACAATCCACTTTTGATCTTCTTCTTTAGTACTATTTCTGCTGTTGTTTTACCATTCTTTCCTGTGTTGTACAAAAGAATTAGTAATAAAAGATCAACTGGTTTGTGGTCAGCATGCCTCTTAATTCCATTGATTACATGAGTAACACCTTCACGTAAAGGTCTTGATGTTAGCATTAGAGATTTTAAATTATTAACAATAAGTGCCTTATTTGATTGAATGTTTATCTTATTGTCATCTGCTGAACTCATGATGGTGTCCAGAGAAGGCCTTAGTTTTGATATACAATTTGTTATTCCTTGAGATGTGTTGTCAGAGATTAGAAATTCAAACAGAACTGGAAAAGTGTCTGCTGAAGGGTTTGTTGTTATTATTGTCAGCACATTATCTTGAATTCTGGACTTTGTGGTATCATTTAACTCAAGACTGTTAAGACAATCAACAATAGCAGCAGTTAAGCTTGGATTTGAGTCCATAAGGTTGCACAATGTGATGGCAATTTTACCATGTTGACTATCTGGAATTATGTCAGGAAGAACATTGATTATTTCCAATTGTGATGTATAATTACTTCCCTCAAGGGCTTGAGTCATCTTATCTGCCAAGTCTTCTTCATTTTTGATGAATGGTAAATACTTAAGAGGGTGTAAAAGAATCCTCAACCATGAGGTGTCTTCAGATTCTTTAGATGTTTCAATCTTTATGTTTTCTATTAACAAATCGATAATATCAGACTGTAAACATTCAACTGTAAGAAGAATACGAAAAATACTATCTTGATAAATTTTGTTTTCAATGTTTTCCTGTGTTGATGAATTTATGGATTTAGACAAAACTGTGGACATTAGGGCTTTCTTAAAACAGTTTTCATCCTCACATAAAGTTTTTAAACCAGTTACGACTTCTTCAGCATTGTCAGGATAAGAAATATGATTTTGTAAATGCCTCTTTATGTCTCGGTGAACTAGAGCCTGTTCCTGTGTAATTATATTGGGACCCTCGTCGAAATTTATTGTAATTTTACTCTCTGTTATTATTTCCATAAAATAGGTGTTTTGTACCATTTCAATTTGATGTTTTGTGCTAATTTAAACTTAATGAACCTTATTTTTTATTCCCATAACGTAAACTTTTGACGTTTGAGGTTAGAAACTTTGTCGTTAAAATTTAAATTTTGTATGTCTAAACTACCTCTTCTTCCGAAAGTGTTTAGAGGTACTGTTACCGGGGGAAATAGACAAAAATTGCCAGAAATGTAATAAATCAGAATTTATTTCCATTTCATTACAGACTAACAAACAATTATTCATTAGAATAAGATCTTTCACAATATATGACTTAAATACTTACATTTATTAATTAAGGTACATTATATATACATAATTTTCATATCACAATATAAAAGAAGTAGAGGAAAAAGCTCTCATTTGAAGACACATTTCTATTTCTTGTGTAATTTAATTTAGTATCAACCCTTGTTAGCTTCCACTAACCGTTGAGACTGATTTTTATTGGACTCGTCGTCTTTCGCGTTATCTTCAGAACTTTCTTTAGTAGGAACGTCGTTCTTCCTTTTGATTTTTCCAAAAATATGATGTGTACCATCGCCTACCCGTAAAGCCTTGTATTGTATCATGTTGTAGGGGGTGGTTTTTAAGTCGTAAGCCAATCCTACGGCCGCCAAACAATTTATAAGGAAAGTGGTCACACTGTACTTAGATCCCAGTTCCGCAGCACGATAGTCCCATGGGAAAGCATGATGGTAATTGTGCCAACCTTCCCCTATCGATAGAAATGCCACCAGGGAACTTTCGACTGGTTTAAGGTTCCTAAATGTAACAAAGCGTCATTAGACCGTGCTAAAGCTAACTCGCGCTAAGCGCATTTCAAATATACCGCGCTAATGACTTACTTATCAAATGGTCTGGTACCATACAAATGTGCGGCACTGTTTACCAACCACGTGATGTTGAGGAGTAACATGTACCTTCCGAAATAACTGATAAACAGCGAATTCCAATAAGTTTCACCCCAAAAATACACCGGTATAGCTATTGGCAAAGCCAAAGCAAAAATTATGTAGAGGGGATTATAAAATCTATAAGGAGATAACGATTAGAGTTTAATTTTTTATGTATGGGATACGTACGTTTGCTGGAACATGACAAGCGGATCCGCTTCCAGGTCGGACATGTCAATTGTTTTGCCCTTACTAATTACCGCGGGATGTTTTTTACTCATTAGCCAGCCAATATGCGAAAAGAAGAATCCTCGGTTTGCGTTATGGGGATCCGCATCTGTATCGCTGTATTTATGGTGTTGTCTATGGTCTCTGACCCATATGTACATGCAATTCTGAAATAAAGATCTATTCACATAATATTCTGGAGCGTGTTATTTTTTAAGAGGACCACTGTATGTCGGCTAGTTTGTATATACAGTCGTGCCGAGTAGTAATTGAATGCGAGTGAAATAAAAAAAATGAAAGACGTACTTGTCCGGCAACTGTTTGTAGGAGGATTAATGCAACTTTGAGGGGCCATTTGGCCTTAAATGACTTGTGTGAGTACAGTCTATGGGCCCCCATCGTGACTCCTATCCCACTGCCGAAAGTTAGGACTGACACTACAATATTACGTTTATAATTTATATAATAAATATTTAATTAAAAAATGTACTTACTCCAGAGAATAGTCAGGGGGTGGGGGCGGCGAAAAGCGCACAAATAGTAACCGTAGACGGCTGCTAGATGTAGAAAAAGGAATCCTATCGCATTAAACCAAACTACTTTTCTTTTGAATGTATAATCGGTGCCTATTTCGGAGGGTAACTTTAAATATGTATCGCTATATTTGTGGTCATCTTTAATAGATTTTAATTCTCCTGGTTTGCTATTGGGTGCCATGGTACAACGATGTGGAAAATAAAAGTAGAAGTTCAGTTTCGCGATTCAGGTGACTTTTCTGGAAAAAACAAATCGTTTTTTAATGCCATGTCTCTTAACGTTACTGTTTCATCGAAAACCGAGATAACATTTAATAGATTGCGTAGTTTTTGATATTAATTGATTTTTTTTAAATAAAATAACAATAAGGATTGTATATTGGTTTCACTTCACCCACTTACGAGACATCGTAAAGTTTAATTATAATGTTACACAGGAACACTAACACAACAGTAAACCAGAGTTCAACTTTTTCGAGATTCACTTTTTTTTTAAACAAATAAAATTAATTTTAAACACTCTTATTCGCTTAGCACATTTCCCTCTAATAGTTACGCGAAGAGTATGGATCATTTTACAAACTTTTTTCGATTTCCCTCTACTTTTAGGAAATAATAAAAATGCCCCACGTTGGGCGTGTTATGTAAGATCGTCATTTGGCTTTATTTGTTAAACAATGAACTTTTGTTTCGGTTGGCGATTTTGTCGTCTTTCCTTAAAACAAATGCACCATATCAAGATCACATTGTATGTCTTTTGTTTTGCGAATGTATTAGGTTGTTGTTTTTTTCTAAATCAAAACAATAATTTTTTCCCTCATTATTTCAGCTAACGATTTGTACATTAATTCGGTACGCTTTGTAAAGAGACCGCGTTCACTAAAGCTTTAATAAAATGGATCAAATAATTGTACTTACTTGGTTAATTTTTTCTTCGGTTGAACCCTATGTCTGGTAGTTACATTTATGTGCTGATTCTTTTTTTTGCATGTAATTGAAGTGAAACACGAAAAAAGCTTACTCGTCAAATTTTACGAAACATTTGTTAACGCTGTTAGAACGAAGTCTAACAAAATATGATTATAAATCAATTTATAGGTACTTGAAATTACCTAACAATTTTAATTTGTCGTCAAAAGATTCGAAAAGGGGTAATAATGATAATGATGATGATGANCAACTGACGAGTATCTCAAATTTTATACTGATTACGGGATATTTTTAAAAGAGGGCATAATAACAAACCAAAACCAGTCAGAAAAGGTTATAAATATAATTATTTGCGTTTAATTGTTATAAAGCATTTAAAATTAACTTACAGGAAGAAATCGCGAAGTTGTTACGTTTCGAATCTTCCCACAAAGATGCCAACGTGAAAGTTGGATTTGAAGATTACGTTTCCGGTATAAAGGAATCTCAAAAAATTATCTACTACTTAGCCGCACCAAGGTAAAGGGGTTTAATTTGAATGTTATCTTAAACCTATTTATTTTTTGGTTTTGTATTGTAAGTCGTGCATTAGCAGAAGCCTCTCCATATTACGAGTCTTTGAAGCAGAAACAGTACGAAGTTCTTTTCTGTTACGAGCCTTATGACGAATTAGTTTTAATGCAGTTGCAACAGTTCAAGGGTTACAGGCTCATTTCTGTCGAAAAAGACATGAGAGACGACAAGGCTGCAAGTGATTTAACCAACTTGGGTAAAAATAAAACATTTTTAAGCAATAAAATGCCTTAAACATATTCACAGAAACGTCTTAAAGTAGTTTGCGAGTTGTTAACAACGTTTTAAATGTACTTTGCTTTAGGGGAAGATAGTTTAAGAAGAAGTGAAATAAATGACTTGACAAGTTGGCTTAAAGGGGTGCTAAAAGACAAGGCGGCTAACGTAAACGCCACCACCAGACTTCAAAACCATCCCTGTGTTATAACTGTAGAAGAAATGGCTGCTGCAAGACATTTTATAAAAACGCAGAGCCATCAAATTGACGAACAAAGAAGATTTGCGTTGTTACAACCCCAATTAGAGATCAACCCTAAGTAAAAAATTAACTTTATTACATATTCATTGTTTTTTTTTTTACACCAATCGAGTAACGGAACGTTATTTTAGGCATCCATTAATAAAAAAGATGTATCGGTTGATGCAAGACGACCCTCCGTTAGGTGAGTTACTGGCGAAACAGGTGAGTCATTAATGTTTGTTTATAGTGGTAATACATAAAATAATGTTTGCAGCTCTTTGCCAACGCAATGGTTGGGGCGGGCTTAGTGGACGACCCACGAATGCTACTGACATCTATTAACGAACTTCTAGAACGAGCGCTTACGAAACACTAAGTTAGTTATTTGATTGTACCGAAAAGTCTGTGATTCTTTTGTAATGATAATAGAAACCTCTTTGTTTTAAATAATGTTTTTTAGGCATTTATTACCCTTTTATCGCCTTAATTCTACGCCATTTTGATAACAAACTGCTTATCAAAAATAATAAATATATTGAAAATGTTATACCGGTAAAGTATATAAAAAGTGAATTTCTTTAAAATAAACAATATTTCTAACATATAAACATAAAATATTTGTCAATTAACAACTCTTCTTAAAGTATCTACAAATTATTAATATGCATCACTTAGACTTCCGTTTTCCTCTCCTTCACTTCGTTCACCTTCTTCTATTTCTTCATCGGTGTCTTCTGGTGGTAGTGCGTCATCTGGTTCGTTTTGAAGTCTGCTGCTGCTTTCTTCACTACCTATCGAACTTTGGGTTAGAATATCCTCTCCTTGAAGGTCCCTGTTCTTCAAAGTTCCCAACCAGAACGCTGACGAACAATTGTTCGCTACCAGAGCAGCTTTAACCCTGACTAACAATGATTCGAGGGTGAGTCTAAATTGAGGCACGTAAGATATCAAACTTAAGTCTTTGGCAACTTTCGAGGTGCAGCAGAGATGGTGTAGGAATCTCGTGCTCCTCTGAATGATCTTGAATATTTCTAAGACGTCGTCAGTCTTCGATCGAAGCATTATTTCCAAGATGGGGATCCCGTGTGACAAGAAAACTTTTAAGATGGCTATCGATTTTTTTAAAAAGATGTGAAGATTTGTTTTGTTTTCTTGGTGCTTGGCAATTGTGATGAGGCCTTGCATTGTGAGAGCTGTATTTTTCCAGAGGGCCAAGTGTTCGTTGTTAGTAAGTGAAACTACTTCACTCTTAACGCCTTCTAGGAGAGCGTGGCAAACGCCCCGGAATAAGACATGAAAGTTTCCTTTGTCAATGCTTTGTAGTTTTGGAAGATGATCATTTTTACTTATTAGTCCAGTGACTTCCTCTTCCATGGAATTGGCAAATACACAAAGCATTTCGACAGATATACCATCCAGATAACTAGTGATCAAGGTGTTTATATGAGCGTTTGCAACCGCCCCCGTTTCCTTAATTCCGTTCGAGTTGTACCACTTCTTCATCAGGAGCTTCTCGCTTACCAAAGCGATTTTCTTTTTGATGTCGTTGTCCGGATTTATTATGTATAGGGCTTTCAAAATGTCCACCAAATGTGTTCCAGAAGAGAGACAGAGACACTGCTTGAAGTATTTTGCAAACGTTCTACTTAATTCGATGGCTCGTTCGTCTGTGGTGGAGGCGGATGAATCCTTTCGGAGTGCTTTAAGAAAATTGTCTAACAAGTTGCTGTTTTTAGGATTTTGAAACCCAGGCCAGTTTAGTAACGTCGATATCAGTTCGATAACGTTTCCAAATGAGGAACGTAGATCTTTCATAGTAGATGAAAACATGTCAGGTGAATCGATAACATCGTGGCATTGTTCTATCGATTGGGCTAGGGCAGTGTTTATAGCTTGAAAGTTTTTCATTATATTTGGAAGAATGTAGGCACAGTCTGTTATATAGTCTTCAACTGATACTACTTTGAAGTGCGATAAGTCTGATAAATTTTGTTTAGTTAGTGCAGTAGATTTTTCTACGACGTCCCTTACTAAAAAGTTGAACTGTTTGATGTTGAGGGTCGGCTGTTGCGTAAGGGATACCGTTGTAGACATGTTAAATTCTTCAAATTTTAAAGAGTACCTTAATGGTAATATTGTGTCAGTGTCTAGTTCCCTAAAGTTAATTTTGCATCTTCTCATCTTGGTTGGAGATGATTTATTTGATCTGTTCCCAGGTTTAGAACCTTGGGTAGCGACAGAGACGGTGGTGTCGTTTAGAGTTTGGGTGGTGGGTGATGTTTTGCTTTTCTTTTTCGGTGGCGGTTTCATTTTTTCATTTTTCTGGTTAATTTTTTCATTGCCTTTGGACGAATCAAAATAACTTCTGGGTAAAACATGGTCGGGAACTAAATTTAAATATTCACGTAACGTTTCTTCTAAATGTATGATGTGACTGATTCGTTCTAAGACCATGTATCGTATTTGTCTGCTTTTCTCTCTAACGAAAGCACTCACCAACTCCCTAAACCAGTTGATGCAGTGGAACAAGCAATCGATTACGTGTTTAATTTGATGGGTATCAAAATCGTCTATCTTCTGCACTAGCGGCATCACTACCCCACAACCCAGCAGAGCATCGATCGCTGTTAGATCGTGTTCATGGAGTAGTCGTACCAGTCTAAATAGAGGCGACAGTGTCATAATTGAAGTCGTATGCGACTGTTTCATAGTTAATTCCGCTATATTTACCCCAAAGGGAGTGTCTACATCGTCTGGATTGT